TCCATGTGTGAGACATCGTTTTCCAGTTACTGTTACCTTAATATCTGTAGCACGGAAATGCTTCGACAGACATAATTATCCTTTGAAAAATCATATTCAGATATGGCGAAATTTTCTAGCCACACTGCTCGTATCGCAGGATCTTATGGTATTCTACAAATAAACACAGAGCTAGTGTCAGTATCAAAATACAAACATAATAAATTAACAAATAAAATACTTAGGACACCTTACACCCTTGTAAGAACGCCCATGGAAACAATGTCAAACTTACTTGTGAAAAGAAGTAGCACATATTTGGCTCTTTTCCTGTAATTGTCGGCATATTATACGCCGCTTTGGCATTTTTATTGAAATTAGATAAAAAAACAGTTTAAAAAGACACAAAACACTGAACTCGGCTAATATCTATTTCACAACAATAGACTGTAATAATGGCGTCCCCTTTAGAACCGTTTAATACCAGGCAATGATGCCACTTACGGCGTTTGTATTGCTAGGAATTTCAAAAATGTATTTTTTTTTTCAGATATTCAAAATCTATAATTATAAAACAAGTTGCAAGAAAATAGTGTCGTAGTCTTATGCATATTACAATGTAACTAATTTGTAAGTCGAGGTCAAAAATGAGGTAGATCCTTAAATAATAAGTAGATTAAAATGACCGCTGTACCTAGCTATAAAGATAAAAATGTAACATTGGCATCAATGTCAAGGACATCACAAAGTACCAATGGGCGCGTTCAGCAGACAGAACAGTTGGGTAACAGCTTGCGATTTTTCTGCTGGCGTATGCGCTACCACGGAACGTGTTGTGGAGCAGTCGCCATTTTTTGTAGCATATAAATGAGGCGCTCGCTAGACGTAACGGTTGTACAAAAATGGCGGGAAGTGACAAGTTTATAATTCAATATGAATATAAAAATAATTTTTATGATGTTGAGGCAACAGAAGATGTCCACTCACTATTAAAAAATGGTAAGAAAGATACGCACCATTAATAGGAATGCATAACAGTCTTTTTATCAAATGGGTGGTACAAATAACCTATGTCCCTTCTAACATTTTTCTTTATATTATTTGCAGATACACTTTTCTTCGAACAATATGTTTTAAGTAAAGGAAATGAAAATACTGAATATGTACCCGAAAGAATAATAGGTAGGTACAGTAATTATGCGACTACTTAACAAGCTTACAAACTCATGTGGGCGAAGTTGTGAGGAGGAGACTCTTAGCCCCCCTAGGAATCTCTTAGCCTCCCAAAAATTATTTGAACTTTACCACACACATATTTCAGAAACTAAAATTAAGAAACATAACCCCCTAGATTTGCACGTCGCCAATGAAAATGAAACTATTTACGTAAAATTCTCGTATCGAATAGGGTGCGAGTGTAAATCTAACAAGATCAGGAATAATTATTATCACATTAAGGTTCAAATACATGCTAAAATGAATGTCTAATATTATTATTATATAGAAAACGTCAAAATAAGTTCTCTTGTAATTTTTTCTCTAAAATGCTCTATATTTCATATTTTCATATAATTACAACAGCAAATGCTCTGATATCTGCGCCCTCTTTTCTACAGCGAGGTTCCTGTTGGCATCCGGCTCATTACCATCATACTCATTTATAATTCCTGGATCAGCCTGAAACTCTTCATTATCTTCACTATCATGCATAATGATAAAGTTGTGTAATACACAAGCTGCACTAATTATTTGACTGCCAAAATCTGGGTTGGAAATGTCAAGATACTTCAATCTCCGGAATTTCCCTTTTAAACGACCGAATGCACGCTCCATTACAGATCTTGCTGAACTATGACTAATATTATAGTTACTTTGTATATCATTCAAATGGCCATTATCCCTAAACGGGGTCATTACATTTAGAGACAATGGATAAGCCGAATCACCAAGCAAATGTAAGTTGCGAGGCATAGCATGTACTTGGGCAAATATAGGGCTAGTTCTAAAGACACGTGCATCATGAACACGTCCAGGAACACCTATATATACATCCAAAAATTTCATTGTGTGATCACATATTCCTTAAAACAAAATTACTTCATTATTTGATCAACATATTTGACATATTTTATGTGTACCTTGCAATATGATGGAATGATAATTGTTGCGATTGTAATAATCATTAGCATTTTCCATTGGTTGCTTAATTTCAACATGGCAACCATCAATTGCACCAACAATACCAGGGATACGAGATCGAGCATAAAATGCCTACAAAGTATACTCGTATTTACAAAAATGACAAATATAAATGGAAATAATTATGTATTACCTCTTGAATTGTATCATAGTCTACTGGCCACCTTATATAATGTGCTCTTAAATGATGGAGAACTTCTATTATTTCACGAAATATATTATGAGCAGTGCTTCGTGCTATTCCAAATCGGTCTCCTGCTGCCAAGAAACTTTCTGCTTTCGATATTACCCATATCGTAAATAATATTTTCTTCTCTAATGGAATTTTATGATACACATGTAGTCCTACCACTGCATTGCCAATAATACCAGTTAATTCCTGTGGAATAGGTTTCAAAGTTTCATTGGGCTCTATCTAATTTGTTATCAATTTTACTTACTTCTAAAGTTGCTCTAGACATTCTAAAGTGTTCCCTAAACAAATCGTCCATATAAAGAGAAATTGTAACTTCATAACAGTCTTCATTTTTGAGTACCACTCTTCTGTCATCATTATTAACCCTTTATAGGGTAGTGGTCTCTATTTTAACCACCTTCCATTAAGGATCATTTTATTATGTTATTATAATGCAACCTCGACCTAATGTACTAACTGAGCGCTCTAAACGCGCAATGGTTCCAGTGCTGACCACATACTATAATGTATGCCCACGACGCATTAACTGATCACATATCAAACCGCCACCTGTTCAGCACTTTGCGCCGAGTTGTGTATAATCTGAAAGCTTTTGTGAATTGCTCAAGACTCCTACCAATAAATAGTGAATTAAGCAGGTTATAAAAAGTAAGTATTGGTATATCATGTTTTAGTTTTTCTTTTGAAAAAAATATCAGCGCTGAGGAAATTTTAGACTTGAAAGTTGAAAAATAAAAATTTAACCTCAATTTTTACTATGCATTTTACAGTTTTTTGTTACGTACACGGTGTTTTTATTATAGAATGGCGAGTTTTAAGTTTCAAGACTTGGAGAATATGCCCAGTGATGCAATATATGATTTACTAGAAGGTATTAGTGAAGAACAGGCTG